AACTGGATGTACCGAACATTATTTGGATTAAAATAAAAACTAAAAAAAAAAACTCATCATTTATCTACTGTTGCTCAACAGAAAAAGAAACGAAAGAAACGGAAAGAAAAAGAAAAAGGACAGAAAAGAAACACCAATCACTTCGGTTCAGAATCACCAAAATACCCCTGATCCGTCGTACTCTTTCGAAATCACGATTTCCATTTTCCGTAAACCCTCATCTCTTCGATCTTGTTATTGCTTCCTTTGTCCCGTCGATGGAGCTCCAGAGTCACCAAGAGCAGGGTCTCCCTGAGAGGAAAGGACAGAAGCGAAAACTGGAGGAAGAAATTCAAGAGGAACCGGAGATCTCACTCCCGCCGTCCGGCGATGCCCGCCACGCTATCCTGTGCGAGGTAATTGCTCAGGTTGACATCCTCAACTACACCTTCTCTTGGCGCGAAGCTGACCGCGCTGCCGCTAAGCGCGCCACTCACGTCCTGGCCGAACTCGCTAAGAACGGTATCGGACTAGTTCAGATCTCATGTTTTTCGCACTGGCGTTGCTCATTTCTTTCTCTATGCGTATCTGTTGAATTTGAACGTCTGGTCTGGTGCTTGAATTTGGGGATTTTGAGTGTAATTCTTGTGATTCTTTGGCAGAGGAAGTTGTGAATGTGATTGTAGATGGTGGTGCAGTTCCGGTCCTAGTGAAGCATCTGCAGGCGCCACCATTAAGTGAAGGTGATCCAAACCAGAAGCCCTTCGAGCATGAGGTGGAGAAAGGAAGCGCTTTCGCGCTTGGACTTCTTGCCATAAAGGTAGTTGGAATTAAGTATTTACTTGTTAGTTGTTATTACCATTTCTTTTTGGATCTGATACTTGTATCATTAGAAATTTAGAAAAATGGAATTTGTTAAACTTTTGGAAAGCGTTAGAAGCTTATTTGTTTGTGGCGTGCATGTTTTTGCGGTTATTATTATTCCCTTATTGGCAGCATTCATAATAATTGATGTTTTATTTAGATTTTTTTATTCTTAGGAAGTTTGTTTTATGAGATTATGCATGCTGATTATACAAAAGAATAGTTGAAATGGACTTCAAAGAAGTGCAAGGAAAAGTGCACCAAAACTTTTATGTTGCTACTGAAAATGAATTAAAGATAATATTCCTCAATTTTACTTTTCTTTTTGTTCAAAACATTCAATTACTTAAATTTGAAGTGCAGTGTCATAGTTTGTGAAAACTGGCCTGCTGATTCAATCCTTTCCATGGACTTAACTTTGCTTGATAGGGGAGATAAAAAGGTGGAGATATGGATGGTTGCTTCATTCTGGCTATTATTTACTCTTTTTGCTCCTTTTGTTGTCTGGTCATTAGGTCATTAGGGGAGATATGGGTGGTTCAAGGATAAAATATAGACTAGAAATTTCTATATCTCCTAATGACGAAGCAACCCTAACTATTAAGTTTGGTAGTAAAAATTTTAAGATAAAAGGCAGCAAGGTAGTTTTAGTGGTTACATTGCAAGTTTTGCCACCTTTAGTGGAAGTTTTAGTGATTTCCACTATTAAGTAGATTGGCCTTTTTTTTGGTTAAGGATTTTTATCAATCTTAGTTTTGTTCATGGGGAAAAATATTTTTCAACTTGTTAACTGATATTGGGTTTGGCTGTTTCCCAATGACTTCAACAGTTATCCTTGATTGCATTTGTTTTTGAATGACTTGCACTACCAACCAAGATATCAATTATTGGGCTTCAAAGCACGCACTTTTCTTTTGTTTTATGTCCCTATGGATCTTCATTTGCAAGTTACTAAATTTGGGAAGAGTGATGGAAAAGGAAGAATTTTAGGGAATCATTGAATCTGCTGATTTTTGTTGAATTTGGTGGTTACAGCCAGAACATCAGCAACTTATTGTCGATTCAGGGGCCCTGTCACATCTTGTGGATTTGTTGAAGAGACATAAAGATGGTTCTAGTTCTCGTGCTGCGATTAGCGTCATTAGAAGAGCAGCTGATGCTATCACCAATCTTGCTCATGAGAATAGCAGCATTAAAACTCGTGTTAGGTTCGCTAGTTGCTGCTTTTAATTGCTGTGTCAAGTAGGTTTCAGTGTTAGATTTTTTCATGAACATCTGCATCTGGTCTTTTTAATAGGATGGAAGGTGGGATTCCCCCCCTTGTTGAGTTACTTGAATTTATTGATACAAAGGTGCAAAGAGCAGCTGCTGGGGCGTTGAGGACCCTTGCATTTAAAAATGATGAAAACAAGAATCAGGTATTTGACCTTTCTTTGGAAACTACATCTGATGAAACTAGCTTTGATACTTAAAAATGAAGTAAATACAATTTTTTTGCAGATTGTTGAATGCAATGCCCTGCCTACTCTCATATTAATGCTGAGATCAGAGGATGCTGCTATACACTATGAAGCGGTAGGCTTTTATCAGATTTCAGCTGCTGTAGTTCTAAAGTTTCAACTAATTGTGAGTTTTTAGTTGCTTGCACTAGCTTTAGTATCAATAGCCTCTCCATTGATTATAGGTTGGTGTAATTGGAAATCTGGTTCACTCATCTCCAAACATTAAGAAAGATGTTCTTGCTGCTGGAGCTTTGCAACCTGTCATTTCTCTGCTGAGGTATGCTTTAGTTGTGTTGGTGTCACTTTGAGGCTTTATTTCTTGCTCTTGGCTTATTATTTCTACTGCAATTTATCCATGGTTCTAAAAATAGAGTGTTAAAGTTTCTTTTCAACCTATTTTATTTGATAACAGCTCCTGCTGCTCAGAGAGCCAAAGGGAGGCGGCTTTACTACTTGGACAATTTGCTGCTACTGATTCTGATTGCAAGGTGGATATGAATTATGAAGTATCTTTTCTGTTTACTCTTTGCTAGATTTGACATTTGAGGGGCCTCTACATGCTTTTTGGGCTGTTGACAAGATGAGAAGAAACAATTATATTAGTTGCTTTGCTTTGGAAATTTTGAGGTCAAATACTTGTTTTCTTGTTCTAAATTTTTGTTTTTTCCTCATTTATTTTTGACGATGAGAACTGTTGTTGATCCCTTCAGTTGGTGAAGTTGATAATTTCCTTTAACTTTGAAATTTCATCATTTAAATTTTTTTTTTTTATCTATTCACTTTCATTGCCTTCGGAAAACGAGACTAAAAGGTAGATAATTGCAGGTTCACATTGTTCAGAGGGGTGCTGTTGGACCCTTAATTGCGATGCTTAAATCTCCGGACATGCAGTTGAGGGAAATGTCAGCCTTTGCTTTGGGGAGATTGGCACAGGTTAATGGTTTTATTTTATTCTGCTTGTTCAGTTGTTCTTTGTTTATATCAAGGTCATCGGTACCATGACCTATGTAGAATGGAATGGATGTGGATGGTTTCATTTTCTCCAAAAAGGTTCTCAATAATACATGGATTCATAAGATCTTGTTTATGTAATGTTGCATGTTTTGATTAAATCATAGTTTTTGTATTTGAGCATGTCTTCAATTGGAATTACTTTGCGTTTTTCTCTTCTGTTTTTCACTTTTATACATTTCTCCTTCACAAACTATTAAGTGTTTCTCCTGGGCTTATGTATTTATAAAAGAACTTTATCTTAGGCTTAATGAATTATGAGATTGCTAGTTGCATGTCTTTGATGTGTGGTATATCATGTTTCCTGCAGTTGCAAATGTTGCTTTAGTGTTTTCATTGAGCTAAATGGATAATATTTTCAAATGAACTTCCTTTCTACATGTTCACCCTTAGTGGATGCTTCTATTTGACTCAAAATTTTGAGTTTCAGGACACACACAACCAAGCTGGCATTGCCCATAGTGGGGGATTAGTTCCATTGCTGAAGCTTCTTGATTCAAAAAATGGATCTTTGCAACATAATGCTGCGTTTGCTCTTTATGGTCTGGCAGATAATGAGGTATTTTAGTCTACAATCCTCATGATCTAGAGGAAAGTGCTAGAATTTTCTTTAAAGGAGTCATTTGACACTGCTTTAATATTTGTTTTCTTCCATAGGATAACGTATCCGATTTTATTAGGGTGGGTGGTGTGCAAAAGCTGCAGGATGGAGAGTTCATTGTTCAAGTATGTTTGTTCCACTTGTGACTTCTCGATGTCTTCTGTTTTTTCACACTTCCACTTTCCTAATTACTATTTCATGATATACCTACTTTAGATCCTTGCAGGTTTGTTGTAGTTTCCCTTTTTAAAGTATCCTTTCTGTTTCAGATTTTTTCCTTAGCTGATACAGTCAGTGACTTCATTTGCAGGCAACAAAAGACTGTGTTGCCAAGACATTGAAAAGATTAGAGGAGAAGATTCATGGGCGAGTATGTTTTTTCCCTATTAATTACCACTATTTACTTGTTTATTTCTCCTTTTTTTTAGGCCCTTCAGCTTTTATTTACATTAAGTTTCCTTAAATTTGTGTGGAACCCCTGAAGAATTTGATCTCATTCTCTGTTGTAGGTTTTGAACCATTTGTTGTACTTGATGCGTATATCAGAGAAGTCAGTTCAGAGACGAGTTGCTTTAGCTCTTGCTCATCTTTGTTCCCCAGAGGATCAGAGAACCATATTTATCGAAAACAATGGTATTTTCTGTGTCTTTTCTTAGATGATTTCAAAACTGATGTTGTAGTGCAACTCTTGAGTGGATAAGGATATTTCTTGAGTGTGCTTGCAGCTGAGATGGTTGTGATGTCATACGTTTTGACTTTGTTGAGCCTTCATGCAGGTTTGGAGTTGCTTCTTGGGCTTCTTGGTTCTGCAAGCTCAAAGCAGCAACTTGATGGTGCTGTGGCTCTATACAAATTGGCCAACAAAGCTATGACTCTCTCTCCTATTGATGCTGCTCCCCCCTCTCCAACACCACAGGTGGGTTTCTTTAAGAAGCTGATTAATCCTGTTTCTGGCCTTTCCATTTCTTGAATATATATATGAACAGATATAGATATGATTCTGATGAGTATGAACGTATGCCCAGATCCTGATTATTGCTTAGTGTAAGACTGGAATAGTTCTTGAAATATCTTTTCACATCTTAATCCCCCCCCTTTTTTTTTTGTGATAGGCTTAATCCTGTTCTTTTAAATGACTTTGATTGGGTGA